TTGGTGATAAAACGTTGGTGAGCAAATATAAATGAACTAACAAAATACAAATATATATTATACATTTGTAAAATGACCTATCTGTAACTATATATAGTTTTAATCAATTATTTTCTACGCCAACGCTGGATGTTCGTGTGTTGTATAAATGTTTTGCGAGCATAAAATATTAATAAATAAATATTATAATATAACGTGTATTAACGCGTACAGAGGACGGAGTGAGGGTGTRTGTTAATGAAGTGTTTTGTTACCGTTACAAAAACGGTGGGTGTAATTTAATTTACGTTTTTGGACTTGAAAGAGTGAAGGAGAGAGAGTTTTTTAAACTARTATAAGTAATAAATATATATATTTATACCTGCATACGATTTACTTTGTATACCTATATATGAGTATATTATTATTACACCGTCGCCATCGTCCAAATGTCGTGCGCTTTCACTCACTTTTGTRTACGAAAACATTTACACCCCTTTAGCTCCATATAGYGCGACAATCAACCGGCGGCAATGGTTTATCTGCAATGCGCTGTTCACTTTGTCATTATAATCTTTTGCAAATTACGCATTATCTTTTTTTTTTCAAAACTGCTGGTGGTGGCTTATGGTTAAAACGCGAAAATTGTATCATAAAATTTCAATGTAAATAAACACCCGATTTTYCAATATTGCTACACGAGTACACATATCCTTGGATCATATTATATTAGAAGCGACGTGTGCTGTACACCGTAGTTTCTATCCGACATGTATGCATTTAATATATATATATAACATATTAACTTGTTGCCGCTGTCAGATTAAATTTATAACTATCCTTAAATTATATTTATGTAGGTAACATATTTTTTGAATAAAAAATAATGAAAAATTCACAATATAACCTAATAATTCASTGAAATTTGGTTGTAATAAAGTCAGTTTACACAAAAYTTCGCTTGAAAAACAATTAAAATGTAATATACCATTGACCCAGAAGAAACAGTAAACACTATATTTATGTTTTTTATTAATCTATCTTTGTTACAAAATCGATTAAAATTAGATATTAATTTTTACAAATGAGGTTCAAGGTCCCATCATCAATTTGTTATCGATCAAYATTTGTACCAATTATTTTATTACATTACGTTATTATTTCGTGTAATAACTGGGTATACCTATATATGGTTGCAGAATTAATTTTAATTTTTTAATTTTAGCATTATATAGGTACTTTTATTTATTTTTTTTAGAACTYTTTTTCGCATTTCAATATTTCTAAAAGATTTTTAATGTGAAAAATTTTAATATGTGTATGTATATAGAAAATTTAAATTAAAAATATATTTTTCCTATACTATTTAAATTTTAAAGTGAATTGAATMCACTAAATTATTTGATTTTCAAGTACAATAATTATCCACATTAGTCAGTACTCCAACCTCGACTCAAACRGTTCATCGTTTTAGGTGAAAATCAAACTATATAATTATACGTTACGATATTATTAATTGTATAGTAGCAGGTACATTATTTACAAAAACAATATATTAAATTTATTCGAAAATATTCAGTGATTACATTTTTTAGCTTTTTATTTARTTATTATAAACTATATAATTTACAGTCGGGACTCGGGAGACGGCACGCTGTACATTTTTATTAGTAAMATCGGTTTTTTAAACTATAGCATTACGAAGAGTTTAAATTATTTTAAATAGTGCAGTATAGCTCTTTCGGAGTACGCCGCACATTAAATACTGTCAAGAACTGCAGTATTGATCGGTTTAACAAGTTAAGTACATGCGATTATTTTAAGCTAATTAAAAACGTCTCCACTGCATAACGACTGCTATCATCTTTACGACCAATGCCGTCGGATTAACAATTTCAGCTCCACTTCTTCCTTCACAATTCGCCACAACCACCATCACCACAAACAACGATATTATTATTCGCATTTATGTTGTACAGTAGTCGGCGACGGCGGCGCCCGTACCTCTCATCGCTCTGCAGTTGTATTATATACTATTATTGGTTTGATAAATTGGTCCATAAATGCCGCTACTACAGACAGCCTCTGTCGGGGTAAAACAAAAACGCATATATATTTAGGTTACTGTTCGCGTTCGTCGTCCCCACCGCGGCAGTGATGTGAACGCACGTCACTGGTTTTCGTCACGTTTTCACAATACAATGTAATAATAATATAATAAATATTATATATTATACCAAAACAACACGGTAGCTCACCGTTTGAACGTAGACGCAATATAATAATTAATCAAACCGTGAGCTAATAATATAATAATAATAACGATGATGATAATATAATATCATATTAGGTATTATAATGTATAATATGGTAATGGTACAATAATAATACGTCCATGCGATAAAACCACGCTGTGCAGACAGCCGCATGCGTCCACCGCCGGCGTTTGATTGATTCACCGCGACGGGAAACGCCGGAATACTATACATATTATATTATTATATTATAGGCATATCTATATATCGTGAACACACCACCGCGTGTGTGGAAAAAAAAAAAAACAAAACGAAATATTATATAAAAGTTCACTCAATAACACGCGTCGCGGGTTAAGTGAAAAATGACCATCGGATTTCACCGCATGACAACCGTCTGGTGTGCATAAATCAACGACACGTCGTGTGTCATGCTTTGTTCAACGGTCAGAGAGGGTTTGTTGCCGAATACACCTGTGCGCGGCGAGCACAGTAGTCCGTTGAGGCTCTCGCGCGTGGTCCCGTCAGAGTTTCACGCACAACTCCRCTTGCTCCCGCGGGGACAAATGCGGGATAATACGAATCGATCGCTATTAAAAATGAATTATATTGTATGATTACGTCGGTTTTTTCGTTTATATATGTATATATATATATATAGGTAAGTGGGGTAATCGACTATAGTAAATAAATTGTTTTTATAGTTTTTAAACTGCAGAAAAGAAACGCTATACATAGTACATAGGTACATACTTTATTTAATACGCACACACATACGTTGAATATTCTTTGACTACAAAATATATTATTATATAATCCTTACACCAAAAAAAAAAAATTGTATGATTATTTAAATTCGGTATGTCATCAATAATATTTATGTGCATTTAGATAATTTTGAAATGATTAATTATTCAAATAATTACCATTACAATCGATTAGAGTTTATTGAATAATTAGATAAACAATCGTTGCGGTGATAACTTCTGTAATAAAACTACTGAAGGTGCGGCTATAAATGTATAATATTAATTTATATAATAATATATACYAACCTTGAACCTTTAAAGACTGAAGTATATATATYAGATTACGAGTGYAAAGCATTGTTGAACTTTATTTAAGAACAACTTGGAGCATATTAAYAAAATAAAAAATTTTCTATGGGAAATTTATTTTCAACAATCAACATAATATGCGTTCTTCATCAAACATAAAACATTAATTAATAACCTATACCATGGTATTATTTGTCTTGAATACATGTAGGTATGTTGCATGTAAATATAAGCGCAGTATATATTTAAAATGAATCAGTTATAATATATTACTATCAAATATTTTACAATCGTCATTTGAAAATCACATTTTGCGTCAATTTATTTTGAAATCTGTATTGCTTTGTTTGTACTGATACATTTAACCTGCACGTTCTGAAGGACTTTTTCTGTTTGTATACATTATTGTGAATTTAACATTCGTAAGATGTCTTGACACAAATCTCATCTATTTAAAAAAAATAAAAATACAACCCCCTAATTTGTCACAGTTATCGCACATCTTATTTTTGGTAATAAGAAAAAATATAATTCCCCTTCTATATTACTACAAAGTTTTTTACATCCCCTTATAATATTTGTGTTTTGATATTCCGAACAGAGCTTTTATCTTGCCGGCAACAACAGGTCTTCCGGCTGAATACTAAATAAGGACACTTAAACGCATTAAAGTTGTCTTTCGAAAGAAATTCCATATTTTTGTCTCCCTTCTTGTTGGGAAAAAACGTTATTTGATATTGTTCTTAATGTTTCACGTCAAACTTGGCATACCAAATGTCTTTCGGTCTTTAAGCAAAACAAAAARTAGGGACGTTGGGTTTTTTTTTGTACCGATCGTAAAATAAAAAGAAAAGTAAAAACCACCACGCTCGACAATATATATACATAATATAATAAAGCCTATAAAAAGTAAAACGTGAAAAAAATCTCTCTACGTCTAGGTTCTGAAGAATAAGAAAAAAAAGCTACGTGGTGTCTGCGGGGTGAACTTTATAGTGGTTACACAACCGTCTGGATATAATATAATATTCGTTACTGCATTTTAAGCCCCGAAAACTCATAAACCAAGCCATTCGAACACGATCTCTTGCGGTATTGTCGAATATCGCGGCATTGTTCATAAAACTAACCAGAAACGTCTAGGTGTATATTATATTTTTACGTGACGCTAAGTTTCTGTAGGTACGTCAAATCTCGGTATCACGTCAAAACTATGTATTTAAAATGCAAAATCACGCACCAACCATCATAACTATCCTGCCAAGTAATATATTATGTGATTTTTTTTTWAAATTGTTTTCTCGTTTTTACTCGTGCAGGAGAAAGATGACAATGGACGTCAAAGCCAGTCAAGTAGCAGCCAGCACAGCTACCAAGTCGAGTGCCAACGTTGGCGCTTCCGCATCGACAGGAGGCCAAGAGTGTGCCGGATGCGGAAAACACATAACCGATAGGTATGACGCACCGTCTAGCTATATGTATATTGTAAAATTATATGCAGTGATAATATTATATATTTATATTGTGTTATCGACGTAATAACAATACTATATACATTAACGTGTGATGTGTTACAAAACTTTCCACGTTCTCCATAAATATTGTACACAAGTTATGGTTTATTTTATTTTATTTTGTTGTCGACAGATTTCTGTTAAAGGCACTGGACTTGTTTTGGCATGAAGACTGTTTGATGTGTGGTTGTTGTGGGTGTCGGCTGGGTGAAGTCGGATCGACGTTGTACACCAAGGCGAATATGATATTGTGCAAAAAGGATTACTTCAGGTATTAATGGCGGACACGTCACACACCGTATGATGCTATTACTGATTGACAGGTTTTACAGGATGTTTGGCAATAAGGGCATGTGTGCGGCTTGCTTCAAGGACATACCKGCGTTCGAAATGGTCATGAGGGCCCGTAGCAACGTATACCACTTGGAGTGTTTCGCGTGCCAACAGTGCAATCACAGGTAATAATATAAACAACTGCACCTTTAACCTAGTACCTACATTTCGTACAATCGTGAAATTTTTGTGTATATATATTGTTGGCACCGATCATAGTAATAATTATTGTTATGTGTTGCACAATATCGCGCTGATATTCTTCCGTGGGGGGG